CGCGAAAAACCTAAATGTTGCGTTTATAAAATATGTACGTTTACTTCGTGTTCGTTTTTTATCTCATGAATGTTATCCATACATATTAAAATCTACAGGAAGCTCGTATTTGCTGCATCTGTTCATTTTAATGAATGCAAAAGTAGAGTCAGTACACAATCATCGAAGTTACTCGTGACGGCTCCGTGCTATACGCGGGTTGGTTTTTTTAATATCCTTTCCTCGGATAAAGCTATGCCTTCACTTAAAAAAATACATTTTGGGTTTCAAAGGGAAAACGTTTCGCTTTCATATTCGCTTTCATGTATGCAGGAAATTCATATAATTTATACAAAGTAATCGAAAGGCTGATGTCATGCTTGCTGGTGGAATATTTAAAGAAAATTATCAACTCAAAGCAAAATGGTACTCTTTCTTCTTGTCGTGTCGAGTCCTACTCTTGCTATGGAAGAGTTATCAAGTTCGGCAATTTCTACAATACGGTTCTGTTTAAAATATCTGTAAATTATATGATACAAATAAGTAGAGTACAAAATAAATTTTGAGGTATTTAAAAATGTTGACGAAAAAAGCCATTTTGATGACTCCGTGGCGCAGTTGCCAAGGTATTGGCTTCGGCGTCGGGGGTCGTGGGTTCGATTCCCACACGGGACAACTATTTGTGTGACCCACAGATAGTTGTTTCGCATCTGGGTGTTTGTCCGCGTGAAATTTATGTTTGTAAAATGTCCTTTACAACACAGGATAATATTATCCTAAAGTAAGGGCAGTGTTTAAAAAAAAAAAAAAAAAAAAAAAAAAAAAAAGCTCGAAACATCACTATGGCACGAAAGCGCAATTATCTAAATTACGGTTCGACTTCCTCGCCGGAAGTCATGGATTCAAGTCCGAAACAAGAATTTGTATGGGCCACATATAGTTAGAGCCACATACAGTTAAATAATACAGAGCCACATATAGTTCTATAATATAGTTGTTTTCGGATACAAGTGTTTGTTCCCAACAAGGTTTAACGTCAGACAGACTGGTCGTAAAACACCTAATTTATTTATGTTACGACATTAAATTAGGTCAATACATGATTCACATTGTATGCCGACCCTCTTAGGTGAGATAATGGCAGGAGGATGATGATGAGACACAATGTGATCGAAATATGTCGGAAAATCAATTCATTATCGAATTTATCGAATCCAGGGAGAGTATTGCTTTGAAAATGCACCAATTGAAATCTATACATACAGATAAAAAAAATTGGAGTGTCTGTTTGTAATATTCAATATTAATTATAAAAATTATTTACTTGCGAAATATAAGTTAGGCATAAGGTGTAAAGTACAGAAATTATCGCTATATTCTACCCATTTTGTAGGGTGTGCAAATATGGTAAGTTCGCTAAAAGGTTGTCAGTCAATCATAAAATCATAAAAAAATGTTGAAAAAATAAGACGAAGAATAAAAAAGAATGTTGAAAAAATAAGAAGAGATTGTAACAGAATATTAAAATAATAATAAAATATATGTGTATGTAAAAGTAAGACATTAATAATAGGACAGAAAACACAATTACAAATAATTAAATGACAAACAAGTAAAAATATTTGATGAATTTGCACATCATTAATTCAGTGAACCAGTTTGGACACAAAAAAAACCATTATTTATTTATTTGATAACCGCTTTTTATTAAGTGCATATGGATGTATACACGGTACATATACTAAAATAACATTTTTTTTACAATTTTTGTCTCTCCGTTTGTTCCGGCTAATCTCTGAAACGGCTGGACAGATTTTGACAGGACTTTTACTGGGGCTGATAGCTGATGTAATAATGATTAACTTATGTTACTTTTATTTTAGAAATTATATTTTATTTTTATTCATATATTCACGCGAGTCACGTTGTCTAGAATTCGAACTGCGATTTCGTCAGCGGCTTTACATTTTCGCTTTTTATTTGGCATGTTTTTCAACAGACTTTCTCACATAAGGTGTATTTTAAATCAAAATATTGTAAAAATAGTAGTAGTCACGAGAAAATAACAAAATGGAACAGTAACCGTTTTAGAAATAAAGATATTAGAAAACTTTCTATTCACTGTTTAGCAATAAACCTTCTGTTCACTGTTTAATAATACAAAAATAACTGGAACGTACTCACCAGAATTTCGATCTTAAACTTTAACCACACAATGACACTCATTTTACGCTACTGGCGTAACAGGAAGGAAAGCGAAATAATCTCGCTTTTGAATCGCGAGAAGAGAAAGAAACAAAAAAAACTTTAATTATTCATTAATGCAAAGCTAATATGGTCGCGTGAGGAAGCGAACCCCATTTCTGATGTTAGGAACCAGAGGTGATATGTAATTAAAAGAAACAATAAACACAAACTATGACAGTTTTATGTCTCAATAAAGCAAAATCAATTACAAAAACCAAAACAATTCAAGTTCTTACTAATTCTGTAAGAAAATTACATGAGACTCCATTTTATCCAATTCAAAATCAGAGCATAAGCAGTTCGACATTTTCCATCGGGCAGAGGTTTTCTTCTTAAAACAAGTTAACGGTACCGCACACTTCCCTCCATGGTGACGTCTCACTATTCCTCTAACAATATATATTAGTATAATTCCATGCGGACGAAGTCGCCGGCAAAGCTAGTTTGCAACAAAATTCTTGTTTTACATAATTATAATAATAATGAATTAGATCTCTAGCGTATTTGATAAGGAATCAGACGCTACGCAGACGCTGTCGGGGATTCGATTCCAGCGCAGGACGCAAATTATAGTTTCCCTGAAGTAAACAACGTCGGTACTACTTAAATATTTATCAGTTATCTTTATGTACGTGAAACTATCTTGTAATCCAGCATGATATTCTCTAGCTGAAGAGTAATCCATTTAAATTTATGCAGTAATCCAGCCGCAATGTACATTTATATGAAAAAGATAGGTAAAAGACATTTTAATGAGCTGGACAGTCCATGCTATATGTAAACACGGGAGCGTGTATTTACTCCCAGTTTCATTCCGTTACCTTTTTTATACTATTCGCCCGAAGGCAAACTATTCACAAACAGATACCGCGAGGAGACAGCTGGGAAAAACAAACTCAAAATTACACGCTTTTGATACGTTTTAACGTTTTGTAACAGTTTTTTTTTTAATTGTTGATAGGAGGATACATACATTTGGCCTTTGAATCGAAAGATAAAAACTCAAATGTTTATTTTGAAGTTTTATATAAACTCGTAATCTTACAGCTGCGTTTTACAAGCCAATGCTAATATAGATATAACTATCTAGTAGTTGCATTTACTAGATAATTATAAAAATGTGGATAATATAAACAGTCATAGAATTTATAGTTGGTTTTATTTTAGTGTCAGTCTCTGCGCTCAAGATGAAATTTTAAATGTGAACTATTTTGCAAGTTGTCGAAAAAATTTTTAAAAACCACACTGCGGTTTTCAAAGCTATCTAGGCACAATTTAACAGTAAATGTCACCTGCATACATAGGGTATAACTGAGAGGAAGTTCTACGAAAATACATTGAAGCAAAAATTAATTAATATTTATAAATAAAACGGGTTTATTATTTAATTTATCAAATACTGCACCATTTATATCTGAAGACAAACGGAATGGAAAACTGTGTACTTCAATATACGTGAAGGGGAATGCCAAATCATCATGTCCTCATCATCCTTGCGTGACTTATTTATTTTAAAGATATAACAACGTTCTTGAAAGTTCTAAGTATATACTTATCAAACCAATTATTTCATGAAGCTCATATAAAAAAAATAAAAAAATTAGAAGAATAACAGCGTTTTTAATTAAAGAAAGATTAACAAAAACTAAGCTTATTAGAAGGATCATGATATTTGGAATCGACAAGAACTTATTTCGACGTTGATAACTTAATTCCAAATTAATTTCGAGGTTTCATTAAAACTTAAGGTGGCTTTGCAAAATTGAAACGCCATACATATAGCTGTAGGGAGGCCGATATGCAAATGTAACGTAATTAAGAAACCAACTTTAACGCTTATTCTATATACTGCATTTAAGTATGCTTCATATCACACTCCTCTGTGGGTGCAGCATTCTTAAAAAGTTAGTTAAGTGATTTGTATCCAATTATAATATTATTTTCATACATATTCTCTTTAATTAAAATTTTATTATTCTTGCATCTTTTGCTGCACCTACCATAAACTCTCACCACTTCCTGGGTTGACTGGTAGAAATTGATTTTGGGCATTAAGTCCGCCTTTTATTATCTTGTTTTATTGAAGGTTGGCAATAAAGATAAAATAAAATAAAGTATATAAATAAATATAATATATGGAGATTAAAATACATTACACATTATATTTTAAAACTTATTAAATAAAAAAAATAAATAAAAAATAAATAAGTTCTAATCTAGTTCTTTCAGTAGCCAAATGGAGACAATTAGACGTATCGTAAGATGTTTTTATGAACAGTTAAAATGAGTTATCACGTATCAAAACATTCCATCAAACCTTTATAACCTTAAATTCATTTCTTATACTTATTTATACTAAAACTATATATGATGAAACAGAAATATTTTACAGGCTCTTTCGGGTTTTTTTTTTTACATAAAAATGCCAACGTTTTGAACACTTTACGGCGTTCACGGCTACGGAAAATACTTATTAGTTTTGTGTCCTAAAGTCAGAGTAAGTCCGTACTACCGCCATTTCATTTTATTATTGATTTTATTCCGATCTACACAAAAGGAACTCGTAGCTTTAGTATGACTCAAACATTGGGGATTTGAAATCAAAACGTGATAAAAAAGTGATAAAATCCGTAAAATTGTTTTATGTAAGCACGTTAATCATATGGTTCTATATATTATTTACAATCAGTCATTGTAAATAATATATATGTAAAATTGTAAATAATATGTGTGTCAAAATGATTTGTAAAAAAAAATTATAAATATTTACTAACCTGCTCTCAAAGCCGAAACTGAAGTGAAAAAGATAATAGCTATCCCAGCCATCTCTTCCAGTTTATCTGTAAAATAAAAATGCGTATAAAAATATATTTCAAATGGATACTAACTAGGATTCTAAAGTATTATAGAAAGCCTTTGATTTTGTCGGTTTAGCATTTTAGTAAATTTAAAGTTACGAAGGTTCTCAACTCCCGAGTCAATTATAAATTGTGTCTCCTACTAAAGGAATTCATTTTGTTGTTAGCTTGCTATGTAATGTTAGTTGATATGCCAGTGTATGTCAGTTTTCATTAATGTTTCCAAAGATTCATATCAGCCATTTTAAAGCGTACATTGACTATGTTTCGAGCCCTGATAGCTCTTTGTCCGGGACTGCCTTTTAATTCAATATACTCGAACAACTTGCATGAAATTGGTAATTTTAAGTGCTGAATCATCACGTTAGCGTTAAAGGAAAGATTCGTGCAAATATAAAAAATAATAACGAAAGAAAATGTTTCGAAGACGAAGCTGCCAAAGTCGTAGTGGGGACGCGTGGTGGACTATGCCCTAATAACTGCTATACGGAGCAGGCATTTGCCCAGCAATGGGACTTGTGTAGGCTGTTTTACTTTACTTAAATTTATATAAAACAAATTAAGAGCATTCAAAGAAAAAAAAATCTAAATAATACGCTTCAAAACATCTCAGAAAGTTAATTATTTTACTCCGAAGGAATTTACATCAAGCTAGCTTAACCTAGAATGCTACAAGGCATTCCTGTACATACCTGCCTCCAAACAAGCTCTTGATACAAACGCGAGCCTAAGCGTTTAGACTTTAGCTCAGATTTGTGATTTCTTGTAAAGAAACTTGGTTTACTCACAAGCTGTTCTTAGATGCATTTATGAAATAGGTAGTTCATGACAATCGGTTCCTAAATGGCGGAGATATCGGTGAACATACATAAAAAAAAATACATACAGTCGAACATAGAACCTCCTTCTTTTTGAAGTCGGTTAATAAATTCAAGAATTCTCTATCGTGATTATTCAGCTGCTCATAAATGACCAAGTGGTTTTTAGGGTTCCGTACCCGAAGGGTAAAACGGGACCCTATAACTCCGCCGTCTGTCTGGCACCAGGCTATTTTTTATGAACCGTGAAAGTAGATACGTGAAATTTTCACAGATGAAGTATTTCTGTTGCCGCTATAACAAAAAATACCAAAAAACGTAATAAAACATATTAAAGGAATTCCCATACAACAGACATGATTTTTTCCCTTTTTAGAGTTTATGATATGGAACCCTTCGTGCGCCTGTCCAACTAGTACTTGGCCGGTATTTAGAACAAACAAAATGTGAAACAGCTGAGTTTAGATGGATGATTTTAATCAAACTAATCTAGCAGCGAGTGTGCTAATTATAAAGACCGATTAGATTTGCATTTTTTTCCACGCTTCTGCACTTAATAGGCTTGTTAACTAAGAGAAGTTCCAGTTAACAATATTTCCGCACTGTAAGTTAGACATGAAAGATGAGACTAACTTCTAGCAAAACAGTGAGATGCGAAACAACTATCTGTGGGTCACACAAATAGTTGTCCCGTGTGGGGATCGAACCCACGACCCTCGACGCCGAATCCAATACCTTAGCTTCTGCGCCACGGTGTCATCAGAATAACAGCGAAATAAAAATCACAAATGTTGATGGACTGAATAATTGAAACCACTTTCTTGATTATAAGAACACGTAAAATTATAGTCTCATGAATACAGGCATTTCAAGAGGTCCAATGTCGAGGTCAGTCGCTTGTTTTATGGCTTTGATATTATACCATGCCATGAATTTATGTGCTTGTTACACGCCATACTTTTGATGATATGAAAATGAGAGTAAATAAGATAAAATACCCTGTATCCGTTGGAATGTTCTCAGTAAGATAAGTGTATGTTGAAATTACTTTTTAAGTTCAAGACTCTTACCGTGATACTCTTACCTCTTAGAATAATTATTATCCTAAAATATTTTTCAAAATATATTGATTTTGTATTAACACACAAACGAAAAATAAATAAAGCTGTGTCGTTTTAATTTGTTTAATTATTGTTTTTAATTTGTATGATACTTTTTTAATTTCGATATATTTTTCCTTTTTTGAAAAATTTAAATAGCATTGCTACAACGCGGTATTTTTGTTTTTTAAATTGCATGTCGTTGGTGCCCTTTGTATTAATAATTTATCATAAAATTAAAATAGTCCCATTAGATCCTTTATTATTGTATTAATAAATAAATTATTTTACATGCAATTAAATTGTATATTAATATAACTAATATTGTATAGGGAGCTTTGAGTCAAAATAAGAAAAGTGTACTAAAGAAAGATTCAGAGCTGTTTCGGAGATCTTGGGTGTTGCAAAGATGATCCAAGGGAAAATTATTAGCGTTTATTTTATTCTTTTGTCTATTCCATAGGTACTCTGTAAGTACTGTGCGTGTGAACGAGGTTTATTTTTTTACTTATCGACTCTCCTCCACCAGGAGCTAAGGATTTCCTTATTAAATGATGCTGTATGAATTGGTTCCACATATATCATAAATTTCAGCACTGAGATTATATTCAAGTTATTCTTTCATCATATCAATATCCGTACTTCCATACTAATATTATAAATGCGAAAGTAACTCTGTCTGTCTGCCTCGCTTTCACGCCAACACTACTGAACCGATTTAAATGAAATTTGGTACACAGATAGTCTAGAACCTGAGGAAGGACATAGGCTATTTTTTAATTGGAAAAGAGGGTTGAAAAGGGAGATGAAAAGTTTTATGAAAGTATAGTCATTTTCAGAACAAGAAGCATAAAACTTATATTTTAGGCTGTTGATTAGATATAAATAAATATGGCATTCGAAGTTAGTAAGAATGTTACCACGCGGACGAAGTCGTCAGCTAGTCTCTACATAAATGTTAAGCTTTTATCGTAAGTATACGTGAAACTCGGTTTTGGTTGAAAGAAATGTAATTAAATAAACTAACTCAACAAAAATACGGAAAATTCAGCTGGAACTAGCATCGCAAAAACATGGCCGTATTAATTTTGGATATGCAGTTTCCGTATGGATGAGCATTTTATGTGCAAAAACTTTTCAGATTGTTTTATTAAATTTTTTCACATGACTCCGACGATGTGGTGCAATTCTGTCTGCAATGAACGACATGAAATGAAAATAGTTTGTGCGGTACTCGTACTTTCATACATTTTTATGGCGTGCGTAATAAGCGCTGTTCTTCGCTTATGGGGATTGACACAACCAGCATCTGTTAAATCGGTATGCAACGGAGTCGTCTTCAAGGCAAGTGTGAATAGGTTTCTACTGAGCTAACGCGCTTACCGTCAACGGCTGCATCGCTACTAACCATTAAGTGGGATGGCAGTCAAGTGCTAGCCAGTTTTGAATTAAAAAAAACATCATAGAGCACCCCAAATTTGTGAGGTCTTATGGTCCCTGCCCCTAGAGTGAATATAAAAAGGCGGATTAAAACATGTAGAAAAAGTATGAAAAGATTGTCGCCGCTGTGGGAATAGGACCCACGACTTCGGCATTCGCGGGCTAAACGGCTGATTGCCACACCGACGAAAATCTTAACTTATAACAATAGATGCGCCAAGCGTTGCTTCAAATGCTCAAAGCAATGTAGATAAAAGACGTTAAGATTACGATAAGGGGGAGGCCCTTAGAATGCCACAACGAACGATACTTTCCCATTTGCATCCACCGCTTGCCCGCGACTCTTACGATGTCGTCGATCCACCTAGAGGGGGGCCTTCCAATTCTACGGCTTCCGGTATTTGTATTAGGAGTCGCCGACATATAATTCTAATAAATTAATATTAATTCTTCGTAATTTAATGAAATATAATAAGTAGATTTTTTCGGTAAAAAATAATTGTTAAATGTTTAGTTTAGTAATTACATAAATGTCTAAGAAAAGAAATCATAGGTAATTCTGAATCCACCCGATAGGAACGCCAGCAATGCTGGACGAAGAGAAAGCCGAATGCCTAGCTGACAGTCTAGAGTCCCAATGCGCCCCTAGTCTGCTTCCGGTCAACCCAGAACACCTGCACAAGGTGAACGAAGAGGTTGAAAGGAAAGCTTTAGAGCCACTTCGCGATCCCGTTCCCCCGGTCACGTGCCTAGAACTAGTAGAGACCATAAAAAAACTACGCCCACGCAATGTGCCTGGCTCAGACGGCATCACCAATAAGGTGACCAAACTCCTTCCTGCTAGCATCCTTCAGATCCTAGTTATAATATACAACGCGGCCTTAACGGAAGGCTTCTTCCCGTCCGAATGGAAAGAAGCTGATGTCATAGGGTTCCTCAAACCCTCCAAACCCGCCACTCTCCCAACCTCTTATCATCCAATAAGTCTTCTCAAAACTTTTGGGAAGATCTTTGAAAGACTAATATTAGCCCGCCTAAGATCCCTTATGGACCCTAAAGGCCTCCCCATCCCAGAACAGTTTGGATTCAGAGCCAAACATTCATGTACCCACCAAGTGCACCGCTTCACGGAGCACATTCTAGCCAAACGACAACGCGGGCTCAACACCGGAGCACTCTTCCTGGACGTAGCAAAGGCGTTCGACAAAGTCTGGCACAACGGGCTCGTATACAAGTTATACGGGTACGGAGTGCCCGACCGTCTCGTATGCATAATACGAGACTTCCTGAGTAATCGGACCTTTCGCTATCGCGTCGAGGGCGTGCATTCGTCAACGCATCCCGTTCGAGCCGGGGTGCCCCAAGGGTCAGTGTTGGGCCCAGTCCTATTTACGATCTACACCAATGACATACCGCGTGTCAAAGATGTAGAATTTGCCCTCTTTGCTGACGACACCTGTCTCTATACTACAGGCAGAACACCCGAAACGATCCATCGACGCCTTCAAACCCCAGCCATTACCATCGGTGACTGGTTTCGGCATTGGAGGATCGAGATCAATCCCGCTAGAAGCGCGGCCGTCCTTTTCTCACATAAAAATTTAACTAAC